ATAATAAGGGTACCCTTTCTTCAGTGCTAATAAGAGAACCATACAATAAAAAGGGCAAAAGGGTACTACTCGGGAACCTAGTAACCACAGGCTCCTGAAACCCATGCCTCTGAAAATTGCAGCAACGACAGTTCACCCACTCCCAACGCAGCTGGAACACTGCACACAGCACAAAGAGAATCGGATATCAACAAACGTGGTAACCACGCAACAGCAAGAACAGCAGCGATGACGGCCGACAGCCCTAAACCTTAGAGCAAAGAAGTCAAGTTTCAAGTGTCAACAACGGTACCCTAAACCCTAAACTCTGAACGACTTCTGAAGCCCAAAAACCTCCAACCCTGCGACCCCAAACTGGATTATTATGGACCTCACTGTAAACCCGTATAAACAGACCACAGGCCAAACTCTAAGATCCTAACACCAATCGTAATCCTAAACCCTACCCTAAGCCCTAAACCCAATTAAACTAACAACCCCTAAGCTCCTTAACCTTTAACCCGAATGAAGAACCCGTAAGGCTCACAACCCCTCTGCATACCCTCAAAAACAACATGGCAAAACCTGACTCCTAGAAACATCCCCTCATCCCTAAAACCAAAGCCCTAAGCCATGGACCCTGGAAGCCCTATATCTTCATGAGACCACCCTTTTAAAGATATGCTCTGGTGATGGTTGTTAGCATTGTTATTGGTATTGTATTGCTAGGGTTATCATGAGTCTTATGAAGGTTATGATTTTTGAGTGAGGGTTATGACTAGTACAAACAGGTATTTTGACCCTTGAAGTTATTGTGACCAGTACGACTATTCTGTAAATTATGATTGGCATGACTGTTACGGATTATGAAAATTGGGGAAATTGCGAATACTATGATTATTCTACGTATGTCGGCTATTCTGATTATGACGATTATGACGATGATGATGACCATGATGACGAGGAGGAGGCGGAGGAGGAGGAGGGGGGAGGAGGACCACCAGCAGTAGTAGGAGGAGGCGGAGGAGAAGAACCATTCTTAATACTACTACTAGGTGATCTTAATCATGTGTGAGTATATAAATATAATGATCATGATTATGATTATGATTGTTATTAGTGCGATATTCTTCTATTTTTGCCATTGTTGATTTGTTGCTGATACTGCTATTACTACTATTGTAGTTTCTGTGGTTACTGTTGCTGTTGCTGCTGGTGCTGGTGCTG